TATCTGTCAGGGACTGTGACGGCATTAAGTCGACGATAATCTCCACAAGGCCGCCAGTCACCATTAGACTTTTTAACCATGTGAAGTGGACTGGCCCATGGACTTTTAGATGGACAAACAATGTGCTAGCATGAATTCAAATTCTTTGCGAGCAGCTTTTAGCATCTCTGGAGAAAGACGACGAGGCTTGGAAAATACAGGTGGGCCATGTGTTTCAATGTGATGATACACTTCTGGCTGATGAGTATGCTGCCCTGATTTGGATGGGTTTAAAATGTCAGGGAATTCTGCTAATAACCGATGAAAGTGTGTGCTGCCCGATACAACACTTATGTTGGTAGGTACGTTCGATATGTGAGAAGCTTGGCCCTGTGATGTCAGCTGAGTTGTAGCATCAATTAAGCAATTATTCTTGACATCCACCAGAAGGTGGAAATGTGTCAAGAAGTCGACACCAATAATTGCTTGAGTTACATCCACAATAATAAAAGGCCAGTTGAAAGTCCGGCGCAAGTTTAAATCAAGTGTCAATAGTTTGGTGCCGTAGGTTGCAATTTGGATACCATTGGCTGCATACAGTACAAGTTTATTAAGTTGGTGAGCATTTGTTTTAGTTCTCGGGAGCACCGATATGTCAGCTCCAGTATCTACTAGAAAACATAACTGAGTTGAACGATCAGCCAGTACTATTCTGTCGATCTGGCGGACATTCTGTTGGCCAGCAGAAAACCGCCCATTTAGTTTCCCGCTTGTTCAAAAGTGTATGGAGGGGCACACTTGCGAGCTTGAGCGCCAAAATTCATATGATAAAAACATATGCCACTTGTGGGTTCTTTGTACTGTGTTCGAGTATTGTGACGAGATCGACTCCTGCTTCGGGCACGAAATTTATTACGTGGGCCCTGATTTGATCGATTGTATCTCCATGAAGCATGAAGACTTGTAGAGAGTTCAGATACTTTTTTGGTCAATTCAGCCACTTGTAGTTCGAGGGATGAACTGGAAGGTGCAGCATTAGCAGCACTGACATAAGCTGGAGTAACAAGTTCATTAATTTTGTCAGCCATTGCTGCTAAACGGGTTAGATCTTCATTGGAAGCAGCGAGAATTATTTGTATGTTATTAGGGAGACGCGAAAGCCATAGTGACTTCAACAAGTCGTCACTAAAATGGCTTCCTGCCAGATCAGGCATTCGTGACAGCAAGTATGAAGGTCGCTGATCTCCAAGTTCAAGTCCTTGTAGTAAAGTACGCATTTTTGAAGATTCACTTTCTTAATAGATTTCAATGAGCCGCTGTTTCAGTTTGGAGTATTTATCACAATCAGGTGGTTTGAGAATTAAGTCATGCACTGAATTCAGAATATCAGACTCAATTGCTGCAACTACATGGTTGAATTTTGTAGAATCCTCACTAATGCGAGTGATAGAAAATTGTGCTTCGATCTGAGCGAACCACAATGAAAGATTATTTTTCCAGAAAGGCGGTGGCTTCACCGCAACGCGTGTGATTTGTGGCTCTGGTGGGATATCGTCGAGCATACTGATAGATAATTTTCACTTTAATTAATAAACACTTAACAGCACAAATATTGTAGCCTGAGGATACACTATTGATATTTTACCATGATAACAATAAATATTTTAACCATGCAGAAAAAATTTACGTAACGATACACACACAAATAAGACAGGGTCAGCAATTACACACACAAATAATATTTTACCGAAATGCATTTGAAAAGAAACCCCTATTTGAGAAAAAAAATTATGCGTTCATTTTGTATTGCGCACACACAAAATCACCACTTCACACTGCTACGGCACTTTCGAAGGAAAAAGGAAATCACTCCTGTAGCACATGGGGAAAATTCACTACTTTTGAACACTGAGGGAAGAATTTTGCCATAGCACGTTGCAGAAAAATTACTGATGTAGCACATTTAGCGAAAATCACTATTGTATCACATTTGTCACAAAAGTTGAATGATCGAAGAATTATTGCACGACTGGCGATGATATGCAAGACTTTGAAAAAAAACACAAGCAATATATATCAATACTTCTAGAAATAATTGAAGGGGTACATTGTAGCATACGTTTAATGTCCATATTCGTTGTTATTTTTAGTCAGTTCTTCAGAATGCCTTGGATGCACGTGGCTTAGGGTCGTTGAAAATCCATTGTCAGTAGCGTTCTCAGTCAAAAGGTCACCACTTTTGGTGGTCGTGTGCTTAATGCATGATATAATTAAAGAAAATAAGAGTAGACAATCTCCTATAACAAAAGAATATATTAAGTACTAAATTACAATTTAAATTACATTGCAGAGATCAACGCAGAGCTCGGAACACAGTTCATGCTACCGTCGCGTACCGTTGTTTGACGAGAAGTCTGAGTGAGTAATGACGTCGCTTTGCTGCTCCGATTAAGAACTGGATTTTACACGTGGCGCCATCTCATGAATAGAAGTTGAAGTATCTGTCGGAACGCCACATATTGTATTGCAAATGCTTCAAAAATTATGTTTAGTAGTTTAGAGCAATCATAAAAGTTTATGTGAATCTATGTGCTAAACTAAAAGTGAATGCTTGCATAATTGTTGGAATTGGAATCTCGAAGTATGAATGAAACATTTGAATGTAAACTAGCAAAGTAAGATAAAATTAAGTTAAAGCAAAAGTTAGCAGCATGTAAACAATTTAAAGTTGGCCAACAGTTAAATATTACAGTTTAGCAAACAGTTATATTAAATGTTAATCCAGCAAACACAAAAGTTTAATGACCTATTCTGATTAGCACATTAGGTATAGTTTTCAAATTAAGATGTTTTTGATGTCTAGTGTGTCTAAGTTTCTAGCATGTAGGATGTCAGTTAGATGGTTGCATTGTACAACCTATTCAAATAACACTTGCTCATACATCTCAGTACAGAAATTCATTGTGATTACTTAAATTCTGGTTGAGAAACATGTAGGGTTTATTTAATTTGCTTAACCAGCTACTTTATGTTTTAAATCTTTATTATCATGTCTCTCTTTCTGTTTTCCAGCCAGAATGGAAATTAGCTTGTGTGTATATAACTAAAGATTTGAGATAGTTTAGACAAAGCATGTTCTGCCCATTGAAGGCTACTTAACAAAGATTGCTATTCTAAGATAAAGAGTTCCTGTCTTTGACCATGCATTATACCTCACGATAGTAATTTCATGAAAGTGAAAGTCTTAGAGCCAACTTCACAATTAATGTACTCTGTATAGCATTTGGCTATTAGATACTAGATTTAGTTTTACATCTGAATTTTTACTTTGAGTTCTTGCCATAATTGCTGGCTGATTTGTAAGCACCAGGTATGCCTTCTGTTCATCTACTTTAGTTTAAAATGAGGGCTCATTTACACTCTTCTTACGTCTTTGTAGTAGTTTTAAGACATAACGATAAGTCACTATTAAAGTCTTACTGAGGTTTGGTCACAAGTTACAATAAAGAAGACTGAATGCCTTAATCAACCCTCTAATTTGCCATTTTTTTGCACTCAACCTGTTTACCTGAAACAACATTTAGAATTTTACAATTTTTAGAGCAGTTTTTAACTCTTTCACATTGAAGTTGTTTAAAACACCACACCATTCAGACATCAGCAGGTCACCCTGAATGCCTGAATCCTTTTCTACCTAGTGCTTTTACCCATCATCTTAGTACATTGTTCACTGATTTCGGGAATTGTTAAATGACATGCCAATCATTCTTTTCAAGCAACTAAAAGTAGTTCTGTTATTTTAATGCACCTTCCTTTTTCTCTGTTTACTGTCAATGTTTATCTATTGATTCCCGAAGTTGCAATCCTGTCCCAAAAGGAAACTGCACACAGTGGTGAAAGCATTCAAGAAAGAAGTTGTCACTTTTATTAAGCAGGCTACTGTTAGTGGTGTAGCATTCTACTTGTCATCAGGAAAGGAAATGTATTCCAACAAATATATATATATATATATATAGCTTCTAGTCATGCAAAAGAATTAATGATGATTTTATAAATACATTAGTGCTAGAAACTGATTGTTACATTAAACAATCTTATCACTGCAATTTCGTCCATCAATTTTCATGCAGGAAATATTAAAAGCTTACAGTGACAAATAACTACTGTGTTTTTCAGAGAGGAATTCTAAAGCATTATGGAAAAACTTTACTTATTCTTGTTTTAAAATACATCATATATTAAATACATATGAAATATCAATATGCATCCGGAAGTTTCAAGATATGCAATATACATGAAATGTCAATAGATGAAAGTCAGAATTCTATTCCAACTAGTGTGTGTAAAAAAAGCCAGCATTGAAAATGCAGTGGTAATTTTTATACAGCTTTCAATTTGCTTTATTTTTAGCAAAGCAATGATTTTTTCTGAATATTTTGCTTCGATGTAGAATTAATTTTCTTAATTTCTGAAAAAAAACAAAGAAAGTTTCAGAAAAGTTTTTGTAGAAATTTGAGCTCAAAAACAATAAATGTCACTGTCATTACAAATTAGCTTTTACACAAACAGAATAGCAAAGAATAAATACAGGCAGATAGCCCTAGTGTGCTTGGCCATAATCAACTAAACCAAACCATCATCAGAAACCTAACCATTATTAGAATTAAGATTGACACAATAATAAAAATAAAACATTTGACAATTTATTAAGATCTCTTATTAATGGTAAGTCTATAATCTCTAAAAGTGTAAGAGGAAAATCAGTTTTCTGTTCCCTGGGACAATAAATTATTATACGTAGTATATAAGACACATTTTATGGGTAATAATCATGCTTCCTCTTGAACAAAAATTAAGCTTCTCTTTAGAGTGATCAAATTAAAAAAAGAAATTTCTGAACGACAAAAAACATCCTTTCCTCATCTGATAAATTTACTGAAAAGTTCAACACCTTAAAACAATACATAAACTACACACAAAAGTATCACAAATAAGTAATCAAGAATGATGCTTAAATTTACCAATCTGATGAATAGAATAAGGGCAATCTTTTTTATCTTGAAACATTTTTAATATTTCTGCATACACAGGGTCCACAACACCAGGCTGCCACATCCAACCTGATAAAAAAGGAAGAAAAATGCAAATACTTATTTATTTTTTCAAAATAAAATAATACCAGAACATGTAATATACACTTACAGAAAAAAAATTCCACCACCAAGAAAAAATTAGTGTTGTACACAACAATGTAATGAAATTTTGGCAATACATTTATCTAGGTAATATATTTATTTGATTAAATTATCAAGATCACAGGTTAATGAAAGCATGAGAACAGCCATTTCAAATGTGAAATGCTGGTATATTAATAACCAGCGTATCATGATTTTGAACGCAAGCATGCAAATGTGTGTGTATTGTGTCATACAGATGCCAGATGTCAGTTTTGGAGATGGAGTTCCACGATTGTTGCACTTGGTCAGTCAATACAAGGATGGTCAATGCTGGTTGTGGATGATGCTGGAGTTGACGTCCAATGATGTCCCATATGGGCTCAACTGGAGACAGATCTGATGATCTACCAATGCAAAGCAATATGTCAACACTCTGTAAATCATACTGGGTTACAACAGCGGTATGAGAGTGACTGTTATCTTGTTGAAAACACTCCCTTGAATGCTGTTCATGAATGGCAGTAGAACAGGTTAAATGGCCAAACTGACAAACAAATTTGCACTCAGACAGCATGGGATAACAATGACAGCGTTCCTACTGTCATATGAGATTGCTCCTCAAACCATAACTCCAGGTGTAGGTCCAGTGTGTCTACACTGTAGACAGGCTGGTTGCAGACACTCACCTGGCCTCCTTCTAAACCAACCTACGGCCATCATTGACACTAAGGCAGAACTGGCTTTCATCAGAAAACACAATAGATCTCCGCTCCATCCTCCAGTGAGTTCTAGCCTGACAGAATTGATGCTGAAAATGGCACTAGTTTGGAGTCAGAGGAATGCATGCTACAGGGCATCTGGCTCAGAGCTGCCCTTTTAAGTAAGCAATCTGTAATAGTTTGTTGTGTCACTGTAGTGCCAACTGCAACTGAAATTTCTGGTTCAGATGGGACTTCAGCCATACACCAAACATGGCATTATTCATTGTCAGTAGTCCCACGTGGCCAACTGGAACCAAGTCTTCTTAAGCCAATATCTTCCCTTGACCACTGCTGCGAAAAATCTTGCAGTAGATACAATCCTGTTAAGTCTTCCTGCAATGTCACAGAAAGAAATTCCATTTTCTCACAGCCCTGAGTGGTTGATAATGACTTCTTCTTAAAAGCATTCTTGACTAACATCAACTATGTTAAATCTCAACGATAAATGATGCTTTTGAACTTTACGATGTGTATTTAAAGGAAACCTGATTTGCACATTCGTAATGGTGCTACTAGTGTCACACTTGTTCACCTAGCGGGAAATTTGAATAGATGTTATCTTTCAGATGTATAAACATGTCTACCAAATTTCATTTATCTAACGTAACTCTTTCTTGGTTTTAGGATTTTTTATTTTTTTTTCCAGATAGTGTACAAAAAGCAGAATCTGTAAGGAATAAAGTTTTAACTTCCCCAATGAAGTTTATTTAATTTTAATCTGAATGCAGCATTCTGCTAGTTCAGACTGGATCTTTTTTACTTCAGGATAATATAGAGGAAACATTTTTATGTCTCTTAGACAGATATTTCAATAAACAAAGAATTAAATTAGATTGACTAACATGTTGTTCTATAGAGGAAAGAATTTAAAATACTATAAGAAATTCTGCATCTAAATTGTTTACGGTCCAAAGTCTGGACGTCCAGTATCCAAAATAATCTAATACTCAGACCTCAGAACCACCAGGGGAAAAAATTTCATCCCCCCTTTTACAAAGTCTAGGCACGAAGAATATGGCATTAAGCAATTTTTCTCCCAAAGAACTTAGATTCCTGCATATCACTTTCAAATACCAACTGGTTAGGGAAAGACACCCTGGGTAATGATAATCCAGTGTGTTCATTTTAAAACACGTTTGAAATAAAATTATTATATTAATCTTGTGTTTATATTATTTGACTTCACCATTCCATTCTGCCCATAGTTACAGTATTTTTAGAGAGAGAGTGATGAACAGATAATAGGGGACAGTACCTAAACCAACAGTAACAACGGACAGAGTTGAATAATAAAATCAAATATTACAAATGCAAGACTCAAATAATGATTTTGTTTTTTACCTGTTTTAAAATGAATGCACAGTAAATTGATTGACATAGGCACTTTCAGCCCTAGAATGGTAGTGGAGAGCTTGGTATATTTTTACCTAAACAGTAAGAGAATCCCTTAGACATACTTATTTGGAGTGGGATAATGTTCAAATTAGATTCAGAGAAACTGAAGTTCCCCCTTAATATAGCAAATTGCATTATTTCTCCTTCCTTTCTAATTTGATCCAGTTTATTATTTTTTGCAGATTATTATTATTGCAGCTATGTTATCAAAATTAAAGTTTGAATTTTCAGTTATATCAAAAAGAGTTTCTAATACTGGAACTGCAGAAGGAACTGCAAAATGAAACATGTTTTGATATTAATCAAGCAAAAAGTAGAATTTGTATATAAATAATGAATAAATGCATAAATACTTCAAAATTATATGTGGGTACAGAACTGGAGAAACAGTGGAAACTCAACAATATATAATTTTTTTTTTTAATAATTTTGCAGATTCTTGCACCCTACTTGCAATAAATAACAGAAAAATTAGTTATGCTTAAAGTGACGATTATGAAAAATAATTCAATAGGTAAGGCAGTGTTGCAATGAGGGCATACATTGAGAGTATCCAATGCTAATGGCTCAAGACAAAATATTTCATGAGAAAACAGGCTTAACTGAATGCACACATTCAATAGTTAACCGAATTTAAAAACTGTCATGGTAGTACGCAGCTGAAAATTTTAAGCAAAAAATCTTCAGCTGCTTCTTACAATTCATTTAATTCATTAATAGTTTACATTTACCTCCATAAAAAATTTACAACACATATCAAATTGGACTTTTTTGGCAGTGTGTGTCCTGAAATACCTCGGCAACCTCTGCAGAAAAGCCCCAACCAGTGTCAAAGATTCCAGAGCAAGACAAACAGTTCTGGTGTGCACAAATACAAACTTTTCATAATTTGGAAAATTACATGACTTCAGGCATTTACAGGAGTACAGACTTATCCATTCTTTACTGTTCAAATTAAACAGTGTGGATGACACAAATGTTAAAGTATGAGTGATTTGAAAACCAAACGCTTTATAACATTTGAAATCTGTTGTCTTACCAGATGATGCAAAACATATTCTGATTATACACTATTTGGTTCATACTTCACACAAAATTTTAGTAAAAGATAATGTCAAAAAGAAAAGGACTTTACACAATAAAAAAAAAAAAAAAAAAAAAAAAAAAAAAAAAAAAAAAAAACATACACTACAAATATACTTGGATTTATTACAAAAGGTTCCATAAAGTATACACGTAAATATACTCACCAAACGATAAATGAAAATGAAAACAACTGAAAGGAATTTGACACTGCAAAACACTTCTAACATGGCCATGGCACTTCCAAAGAATGAAGAAATTGCAACAAATGGCATAATATGAATATATATATATATATATATATATATACACATATGAATATGAGTATATATGAATATATCTGAGTATGAATGAATAGCCAACACGGATGTTTTCAATGTCAAAATAACATTGAAATGTAATGGAATAATACCATACGCAAAGAGAAATGTGGAAAATGAAAGAGTTAAAAGTTTATTACAGTTATTTATAGATAAAACAATAAATATAATAAAAGAATGCAGAAGCCTGCTGCCAAATTCTAAATGATTACTGATTAATGCTCTTCTTTGAGCTCGATGCCTTTTTAGTTCTTTTATGATTTGGAGAGCATATAGGATAAATCGAACATGATTCATGAAAAAATGCCACACCACATGATAGATTCAAAGAAATAATGACGTTTATGAGATTCAATTAAAACTTTAAGAGATTTCAGAGTAATCATACACTTTATTACACTTCTGCTTACAAATGCAGAAATTATAATTTATTGTGTATCAGTGCAAGAATAAAAATATATTTGCCCTGAGCACTCTTCATGAAACTGTCAATATTACAGATAATGCTAAGAAATTATCCAAATATATAGATTTCATAACTCAGCATATTGCTGATACTTTAGATCAAACAGCTGTAAATTCATCAGTTAAAGCAGGAATTTTCAGATAACTAATGCATATGATTTACAATATTTTAGATTTGACTGCAATAAAATAAATGCATGGATTTTGTAAAAAGAAGCTACAGGAAACATAATTCCTAGAAGAGATTTTTACTACAATTTCTGAAAGAACTCCAATGAAAACATACAATTATGAAATTATTTCCAGATCTCTTCTACAAATTTTCTGATCAAGAATCAAATTATCATGTGCGATGTCAAATTAAAAAGTGCAATAAAAACAGACCTACTACAAATAGAAGATATACTACAAATTTAAGAGATCAATTTGGGAAAAAGATGAAAATGTAATTATACCAGAATATGTAGTAATTTTAGTACTTAACAGCAAAAATATCATTTATTAGAACTTGATCAATGCACAATGAAAAGCTGAATGCATCTTGTCTCTTAGTTTCTACAATTTTTCTCATCCTACAATTTTTATAATTTATATATATTGTTTTGTCCACATTCATTATACTTACCGTATTTAAGCGAATCTAATGTGCATCGTTTTTGGCCAAATGTAGTACAGTCAAAAGTCGTTAATCCGGACTCGTCGGGACTTCAGCGATTCCGGATTATCGATTTTTCCGGATTATAGATCATCAGTTTAAATCTGGTAAGATGGCATGCAGAAATTATAAAATTAAAAATCTGAAACCGTAATTTATGAAATAAAGAACAATTATGATCTAAAGGATATCAAAATTTACGAAAAAAAAAGCTTAATATTTATTTTTTTACTTTATTAAACATTTCTTTCAATGTAAGTTGTT